TAAAATTTTTGTCATATTTAATACTAAATTGTTCTTTTTATTATATTATAGAGCTTCTTATTTCGTTTATTCCGCTAAATTATGTAATAACTTTTATCTTTATGTGCTGCAATCAGATTATATATAAATTCATACGTCATATATTGTTATATATAATATATGATTAGAGAAAATCAAACTTTTAATTAATAGGTTGAACACTGATTGCTCTGATTCGTAACAATATATATATCAGACTATACGCTTAAATAACAATCCGATAAAATCAAGTATTTAATGCGCTTAATATAATAATCCGATAAGAGTGTCTTTAATACGTTTAATATGGCAATCAGATAAGATCAAATCCACTAATTGGATTTCATCACTCTGGTTTTATGGAATACTCAATCTGGTAAAAGGTTACTGTTACAGTTGTGAGTCAGAGGAGGAACAAGATAATGTACTGTAAAGTACTGTGTATGTAACTATATAATGTATATCTATCTAAAAATTTAAATCCAGCTAACTTGCAATAAAATATTTTTATGATAACACAATAAGACTTGCTCTTGTAGTCCAAGTGTACTCGTGTTCTGTAACAAATAACAACTATGTACTTATGAAAAATTCAATATATACCATATATATAAATCGAATATATGTAATAGACAGTTCTACCAGTACTTTATAGATTCATGTCTGTTATTTCCGATGTCAATGGACGATTGATATCTATTTCCTTGAAGAGAATGGTTAAATTTAGAGAACCTTAACTAAACTAGGTTAACTCATATTTTTAATACTGATGATAATAATGGAAATATTAACCTCTACTGGTAAGGGATCTAGGTGGTACTTGAACAATCAAACTAAGTATTACATTTACATTGGAAGTATTCACATTGGAAGTGTGACAACAGCCTTTTTATTAGAAGATTGTGTTATACTGAAATTGCTTGCTGGAATATCGAAAAACTTATTCAGCATGGATTGTTCCGGAAAGTACAGCGCTATCTGCTTTAACAATAAAGTTAAATTCAATACTCTTGTTAACTCCTTAAGTTCTTAAAAAATGATCAGTAAATATATAATTAAGTTAAACAGCGTTGCAAAATGCAATAAATCACATCGTAATAAATTGCAATAAATTGCTTAAAGATTGACCAATTAAGTCTCGGCTATGACACATATAGGCGCAAAATCAATTTTCGTCGTTAGATCTGCAAAATACCTTCGTTGTGGCATTCATTTTATATGCTCTTTCCACTGGTAAAATTACTCATACAATAAAAGAGAAGGTTCCTCAAAATACTATTCGAATTATTACAGAGCGCAACACCGATGGGCACTGCATACGATAACCCAATTATGTGTCGAGGCTGTGGATAGCATAGCGCATTTTGTCGGTTATTACTCAGCTTTTGCAAGAATTAATTTGAGATTGTTGTGTAATAATGTTCTAATCATAACCAATGTTCTTATTCTCTTTCTCTTTCTCTTATTCTCTTATTTTTTAGATTCAGTTAATAAACCAAGAAACTTAATTTGCATTGTATTGTATGTGTAAGATGTATGAAGTACAGCAACCAAGAGATATATTGTACTGCTCTCTACAGGCGTTAAGTTGATCCTATAAAATGTTATTAAGTATCACTGGCTTTCAGAAACTTGAGTTAAAGTATTCTATTCTAGTTTGGGTGCTTGAATTTCCTTCTGTGTTCCGGCATAATGGTCTACTGATTAAGTGCCTTGGTTTTACCTTGTTCTTAACTTAAATACTCTTAATATGTAACTCACAGATGCAGGGTTCATTAAAAACACTGGTCTGTTTCCCCTCATTTAAAGAAGACCAAGAAAAATGCAGTATGTGGAATGAGTTATAAAAATTTTTAACTACGTCGATTTCAAACCAAAATTATTGACAGTTCATATAATTTTATTGTAGACCAATAAACATATTTCAGAAAAGGATTATGAATGATTATTTGATTGACAATATTTTATAATAAAAACAGTAAACTTACCATATATAAGCGAAGCTTCATAAGCCTTCTTATAGTTTTCAATAAGATCGTTACAGATATATAAGTAATCTCGGATATTTTTTTCTTTATTTCCGCTCTCCTCACTCACATCGAACATATTTTCATTATTTCTTACGTATTGTATAGTTGTGCCAGTATCAGTCATGCAGAACACAATTTTAGTTTTTTTCTCATAACCAACAATATCGCGATAAAAACATTGGTACTTAGTTGGCATAAAATGTTTAAGCGGTCCAGATGCATGTAACAGTTTCATATCAACTATATAATTTATGTTTTTAATATTAAAGTCGGGCACACAATCATAGTCAGTATTGATGGAATTAAGTTGCAACTTTTCAGCCAAATCCTTATGAAAATCCCTGAAGTTTATAATGGAGTCCTCAATTACAACATTCTCGATTTCATATTCAAAAAGTATGCCCCCATCGTTCTTCCACAAATCGTTTTCGGTATTACAGAAAACCACAGCAGTATTGTTTTCCGGAAACCCACAAGCGTAGTTGTAATAAGTACCTCTCATCCTTTTCTTCATGACATTCTTAAAATTCTTCTTGAACTTATACATTTTGGCTATAAAGAAAGAAAAACTTTTTTTATAATTATCCAAATATAATAAGAAAATATTCTCAATATCAATTACTAAAGTAGCCACGATACATATGAAAAATGTCGTACTATTTACATATAAATTGCAACATATTAATTTGGTGGATATATGTATATCTGGTGGATATTATTTACATATATCTAGTATCAAAAACAAAAGAACAGTTTCATCAGACTAAGCAATAATTGGCCTCAGATCTGCATACCTCCCCGAGGAGCCTGTAACCATTCTGAGATTTGATAACGCGGTGTTGGTAAGTCTGTCAGATTTCGCAAATAATTTCAGGGCTTTATCCTTTATGTATTTTTTGATGGGATCAATCTTGATGTCCCTGAGGATGTCATTCGTCCTAATGTACCATGGAACTTTGAAAAGTCTTCTCAGAGCCTGGCTTTGTGCTATTTGTAGCTGGTGAACAGTAGTGTTTGAAGCTTTGCTAAACGTTACACAACCATATAGAAGTGACGGACGAATTATTTGGTTATATATCAGTTTTCTGTTCACAATGGTAACACCTAATTTACCTAATTTTTATTTAATTTACCCTACTCGAAATTCTGGTAAATACCAACATTTACATTTAAGTAAGTGATAATTACTTAAATATTAATGAACCTAAAGATAAAGTTTTAAATACCTAGTATCGAGGGTCTACAAATACTTATATAAAACTCCATGCTGAATTTTTAAAATTATTTATTAACTAATATATGAAATGATTTTATATTTCTAGATATATTTAAAAGGACCATACGAGTAACTGTTCGTGTTGATATATAATAGTGTTTTTTAACATCACTGTGTTTTTAAAATTAAAAGAAAAATTAGTTTGAAAATAGTTAAAAAATTTTAATTGAGAACTTAAGTTAACCAATTTTTCGATTATTTGTAAAGGATGCGCAGTAATAGTACATTCACACTGTCTCATTTAGGCGGTTTTGCTCATTATAGCGACTAATGAGGATGATTTACCATACAAACTGTTTTCCAATCAGCTCATTTAAGGCAAAAAAGTCGAATGCAACCCTTAAAAATAAATTTCCCTCAAGGGAAATGATCGAAATTCCAAATATGTGGCTCATGTTTTATAAGTAAAATGTAAACAAACAACAGCTGAGCACTGAGGAAGTATTTAATAAAATATTTGTTTTATTAATTGAATATGGAAATAATAAATAAAATGTATATAAATTATTTAATATATCAATTATATATTTAATTTTTTTGTGTAATATATTATTAAGAGAAGTTTACAAAAGTTTATAAAAATTCTAACAGTTCCATAAATAGGCTCATTTAATAAATAGGCAAGTGCTTAAATGAGACAGTGTGAATGTATTATAACTCCTGTGTTAAAATGAAAGTCTGCTATATATCAAAAAAACATGGACTTATCTAATTACCGAATTTTTGAAAACTTCTTTATATTGTTGGCTCATACATAAAATAACCATATTACTGGCAAAGCGCTCTAAACAAATGTTGGAGCTATTGGACCCCGTGAACGCTTACTTCACCCAAACTAAACTGTTTTGCTTTAGGCACAGAAAATTATATATAATTTGATTAATTTGTTGCTATATAAGAATTGATGGCACCAGTACTCGTGCTGTGGGTGTTTTTTTCCTTTTTTCACATTTGATTATTTATGTGACTATTTGATTTTGAAATTTGATAGAAAATCAAGAATTGAAGAAAAATACTGATTCTTACAAAAAGTAACAAATGAGTACTAAGAAATATAGAACACTTAGAACACAGATATATTATTGTAGCAACAACTGTTTTAGTTGTCCTCATACAGCTGTTAGTGTTATTGCACGGAATAATAGCAATAAAAAATTAATTTTTTTTTCATTTCTTATTCTAACTAACTTTTGTCACTGTTTTAACTTTGATTGTTGTTGATTTTTCCAAACAGAATAAAATTTTTACGATCAGTGCCGCATTAAACAATGTTCAATACAAAAACAAATAAATAATGCTTTTGTTTAAAAGAAATTTTTCAAGCCGATCATTGCAGTGTATCTAAAAAAATCAGGGCTTTTGGTATCTGGATCGAATTTTTTTGATGTAATATTTTTATTAAAAATGTTTAATTTAATAAAAAAAAAATGGAAAAAAACCCCCGTTTTCGCTTAGACGAAACTTTTGCAAGCAGTGCTAGTATGTGCTAGTATGTCTAAAACAAATCTGCGCCTGGTACCGAATTTTTCTTAGAATTTCTAGATTTCTTTAATATCACAATATTTTCATTAAAAGTGTACAATTTTCAATATAAAGTAATTATTGTATAAATTATTTATTTTTTAGTTTCAACAATAATTCTGATGGTGCAATTTTTCACAAAAAAAAAAAAAAAAAAACTGAAAAAAGAACTTTTTACAAGCCGAACGAATGCTTAATATATTTAAAAAATATAATGAATTCGGTACCCACATTTGAATTGCTTGTAAATCATATTTTAAATAATTATTTATTATAAAGTATTTATTTTTGTATTTCATTTATTAAGAAAAAATTAAAAAAAACGCAATTTAGCTTATATGAAATTTTTTGGAAGCCGTTTTTTATATAAAAAAAAAATCAGTGCCTTCGATATCCACATTAGAATTGCTTAGAAATCATAATAAAAAGAAATAATTTACACTACGAGTATTTAATAATTATTTATTATAAAGTATTTATTTTTTAATTTTAATAATGGTGCAATCTTTCACAAAAAAGAATAAATTAAAAAAAACGCAAGTTTGCTTACGTGAAGTTTTTTGCAAGCCGAGTGGCGCAGCTCTCGTTTTTTATAAAAAAAACAGCGCCTTCGGTATCTGAATCCTAGTATTTAAGAAATCAGTATATTTTCATTAAAAATGTACAATTTACACTATTAAATATCTATTCCATTCTTTATTTTTTTTAACAAATTAATCTACTACTCCAAACTTTCACGAAAAATAGGAAAAAAAAAATTAAATAACGCTTTTACACACACGAAACTTTTTGCAAGGCTGGACCACTCGTATTTCTAAAACAAATCAGCGCCTTCGGGAACTGAATTCAAATTTTTTAGAAATCAAAATATTATTATTAATAATTTACAATTTTAACTATTAAATACTTTTGGCTATTTGGCACTTATTTATTATTTTCTATAACTTTTCTTTCTAATGGTGCAATCTCCGACGAAATATATAAGAAAACTTTTGGAATCGTAAAAAGTTCAATAAAAACTTGAATTTTTTATAAAATAAATTTTATTTTATTTAATTGTAATTGTTTAATTATAATATAAATCACACTTACCCAAATGTATAAATTTTAAATTACGAACAAAAAACTTTAAAAACTTCACAGTTGAACAAAACTTTCCGTACGCAAATTCGAACTGCCGCCGTCGAGCAATTATCGAAAGTGATGAGTATTTTGCTCCGAAGCGGCAATGCTACTTCGTAAGAATTCATTTATCTTTACAGAATTGCCATAATAAACTTATTTGCGTATCCTCTTAATTTGTTTCACAACATTTTTATATATTGTTAGATTGTGTGAGAATATCTACAATATTATTATAATAAAATTATTATTATTAAAATTCAAATATTATATTTGGTTTAAACAAACTTATTTTATTATAATTAAATAATATTTAATTCAGTAAATAATTATATAAATTAATATTAACATAATTACATTATTGATTTATTTTGAATTTATTAATTATTATGTTATGGCGCTTGTTGCGCCTTTGTGTCCTTTTTATAAGGCAAAATATTTTATTTATGATATAATTCAATATATATATATAGAACTCATTGTATTTATTTGAAACTATCTTGAAATTTTCGAAATCAATTGAATTCCAATTGGTTGCAAATTACTAAGGACGTGTGCGAGTTAGGCTAAGTTGATGCTAAACCAAATGGGAGATTTTTTGCACTGCACACATTCAGCCATTTATCAACACGTATCGACACATCACTACATTATCGGCACAACTTAGAATTTCCCTTATTGATTAACTGATTAAACTTAAACTTAACTGATTAATATATTTGTAGAACTGTTTGCATTTATTTGAAACTTTCTTGACATATTTGAAATCAATTGGATTCCAACTAGTTGCAAATTACTACATAAAAAATTCTTGATTAATAATTAAGACTACCTAATTAGAATTAATTGAAAGAAATAAATTATTTTAAAATTAATTTTTATTTTATTTGCTTAACTAAAATTAAAAGTACTGCGAATATCATTTCACTTCAATTTTGCTCATTCAGATTCATTTTGATTTTATTAGGTTAGTAACTCAATTAATTAAGTACAATAAGATTATTTCCAATTACATTCATCTTTCAAAAAATATACCGGATAAATCACTATAATTTATTTATAATATTATAGATACTATAGCATAGCATACATATACGGTATATATTTATATTAGGTCTGTTCCACGAGCTATTCGTAGTAACTTTGAGTAACACGGTGTGTATACAAGTGCGTTTCACCAGTTAACTTTCGAGTAAATGAGAGCATTTGAGAGAGCGTAACATCCCTGTCGAAAATGCTACACAGACTTTACTCGTACATTTTATTTCAAATAAAATTTGAGATGATGTGTGAATCAGCTGTTTTGGTTTGAATTCAAATTTTTGTATTGTTTATTTGGGCGGCACTGGTGTTCTCACCAGATTTTACACAAAACTGTTGTAAAGAGCGTAATTTGGCACTTTATTTGTGTTACGCTATCAGTTTGTACTTTACTTGAGTTTTAATTGAGTTCTACTACAAGTACCTTTTTTGAGTAATAAGTTACTCATAAGTTTGCACATTCGTATCCTTTTTCCATAATATAGGACTACAGAAAATAAATTACGTTGTACAAAAATCATGAATCATGATTTTACGAGATGTAATGGTTATAGAAAATCAAAAATAGAAAGTATCCAGAAAGAGAAAATACAATTTTTAAAAAATAATAATTGATCTACTCGTACCTATATTCTTTGATTAATATATTCATTCCATTTAATCAATTCATACGATTTAATGAATTCTTCATTCTTTTTCGAACGAATCATTTTTGTTCTTCGTGCAAAAATCATTCGTTGAAATGAACGCCTACTGTACTAATATTCGGATGTTGTATTGTTTATGTGTAATCTGACTTGGGGTTCCGACAATTCTTTGTAGCCGCCATCTTGAAAAAAATGGAAATTTGACTATTTATATATTTGGTACTAAATGAACTTTTTTTTATTTATTTGTGATGTAATCTCACTAGTAGAAGAAGAAGAAAGGGATGACATTCGTGATAGAACTAAATATAGTGATGTGGATAGGAATACGTTCAAAAAATGATTTTCATTTAATGATTTTCAATTCACTTTTTGTTAATAATGCGGTTGTTATTTAAAGGTTTATATGTTTATATAATAACTTCTTAATTAAAATAGTTTTTTTAGTTATTAAACGTATAAATATTTATATACAATATATCTTTTCTATAAAATTTTTTATAAAAATTAAAATTTCTATAAAAAACTAAAAACAATTTTTAATAAAAAAGTTTACATAATGCTTAAAATATCCGATATATAATAAAAAAATTAATTAATTTTAATACAGGTACGCTAAGCTTGCTAATTTGAAAGGATAAATAGCATAATGTTGTGATACTTAAATTTGGGAAAACTGATATATAGTGATGAAGATACGGTAGCATATAGGATATAATAATATATATGATATAATAATTTGTAGTTGATAGTTTTAAGACTCTCAGAGAGCACGGTGTTTCACTACTGGATAAGTGGTGAATTATTGAACTTAAACACCAAAATTTGTTGAGAGGCACTCCAACATCTGCAAACAATATGGGTTTCTGAATTATTTTCCAATATTACTTTATTGGAATTTTTTTTTCTATTAGTTTATATTTTAAGTATAGTGATATATACTTGCAGTGCCGCCAATCGAGACTATATAGACTAGACCGACCTTGTACCACGACCATTTCGTATTTTGCTTTGTTTTTTATATATATACTATATTAGAAGTATTCCTAAGAATTTTAATCATTAGTCGACAGTTCGGTCTATAGAATTATAGTACTTTTATTGGAATCATTATGGATATGCGTCTGATTTATATAAAAACTCCATTTAGGCAAACTTCATTGCTTACGAATTAATCCACAGATTTTATTGTTATTAGACACGTTAAGAAGCTATAGGTCTTATTCTTAAATTCTGGTCACAACCGTTGTTATTTGATGCTCTTATAATCTAAATTCTAAAACATTTTTTCGGGTTCAATATTTTGTATTAGAGTTTTCGTGTTCAATTCATAACTCAAATGTTTTATATGATATATTTTATTCTTTTAGATTATATTTTCAAATGCATATGGTTCCATTATATGCCAGAGATATCAGTGCTTGCAATTCACACTTCAACTATATAGTATTTGACCATGTTGAGTCATTTGCTGAGGTAATGTTTTGACTTTTTAAATCTTTATTATTTCTTTATTGATATGGTAGTATCTTAGAGAAACCACACATCAAAATATGTGGTTTTAACTCACACATATGTAGGTTCAATTTTATTTCAAAGCCAGAAAAAGATCGTGTAGTGATATCTTCGGTATAACATAATGTTGTGTTTGTAATTTGTAAACATGTTATAAGGTCACGTTTCAAATCACGAGTAAAAATATTGGTTCTCATATACAAGCATGTATATATATGGAAGCATACCTCTATCTATCTGTTAAGAGGTGTAGGATTTCACATTAAAAAAAAGATTAAAAAAAAACGCGCTAAAATAAACAGATTTATAAAATATTAAAAGTTTATTTTATGTTCAATAGATAATATAATTTTATGCAATTTTAATGAAGACAAAGACGTTCGATGAATTACTCGTTAAAATTATATTTCGATGATTCACTTTTCCACAGCTTTTTTAAATATATAATATTGTATGTGACGAAGAGCGATCTCAGCTAGAATATGTGTTGAATTGTCTGTTTAGACCAAGTATTTAAAAGAATTTACGAAAAATGAGCCACTGTTGGTAAATCACTTGATCTATATAGAATATAGTCATCGAACATTTACTTCAATAAGTCCAGAGCATGCAAACTCACATATGGAAGAATCAAATCGTTCTTTATTGTTCTGTTTCGGGTGTAATTGAAGACGATATTTCGATTTACTACATTTTTGAAAATACATGGTTCAATAATTTCACTTGTCTATAAGCAGCACCAAAAACACATTTTTCAGGGTGCGTCAGTAGATATTGTATCACTTTTTCATACATATGCAAAATGTAATTTTATTCACAAATCTAATGAGGCAAATATAAGTCTCATAGCCTCCTGGTATATAATACACTGTTAACCTTTTTATCTGTACAACAACTTTGGATACATGTATAAATAATTATAAACATTGATCACGTATACATATTTATATATGTATACGTGATCAATACATATATGATCTACTAAATATTATTCGATAAATATACGATGTTAGGTGGGACATTGTCAGTTAATTGAATGTCGTTATATTTTAAAAAAGAACTTTCTAAAAGCAGAATCATTGAATCAAAGTTTATGGAAAGCTAGTTTCTTCTGTAGAAATGATTAGCAAAATGAATTCCAGATTGCCTTTCACTCAGTATCAGTGGCGTAACTACAGGGAAGCAACTGGAAGCAACGCTTTCGGGCCCCCGAATTTAGGGGGCCCCACTATAAATTTTTGTATTCATTGTATTTCTTTTTAATAAATTCTCAAAAGTAGGACGAAACGTTTTTTGTTGGAATAACTTCATATTGCATTTTATAAAAGATACGTAAATTTTAAATTTAAAGTACATAATATGTATGTACTTCAAATTTAAAATTTAAAGTACACAATATGTATGTACTTCAAATAAAATATTAAACCTATTTATGAAATAAAAAAGTTTTTCTAAGAAAAATATGTGTCTTGATCGAGAGTTTATATGGAAGCTATATCTAAATTTAAACCCATTTGAAAATAATTTTATACGTTGTCTTTTGCAAATATCAGTACTGTATACACCATATTCCATTTGAATACCTTTATTAAAAACGGAGAAACCTCATATACGATTGTTAAGTTTATATCACAGCTACAAAAAATAGACGTCCAATTTCAATCAAATCAAATGGTGAACAGGGTGCGCTCCCGAAAAGTATGTGTATAAAGTTTTATTCGAAGAGTTCAAAAGCTGAGAGAGTAGTTTGAACTGTAAAAGTATACTGATATATACTTAATGGTATTTCCGAAGTTTCCTTTAATGCGTTACGAAAGTCTTGACAAACCTTATATTCCCTTTTTACATTTTTTCGTGTA